CACACACACACACACACACACACACACATATATATATATATATATACACACACACACATACATACATACATACACACATACATACATACATACATACATACATACATACATACATACATACATACATACACACACACTACCGTTCAAAAGTTTGTGGTCACTTAGAAATGTCCTTGTTTTCGAAAGAAAAGCAATTTTTTTGTCCATTAAAATAACATCAAATTGATCAGAAATACAGTGTAGACATTGTTAATGTTGTAAATGGCTATTGTAGCTGAAAATGGCAGATTTTTTATGGAATATCTACATAGGCGTACAGAGGCCCATTATCAGCAACCATCAATCCTGTGTTCCAATGGCACGTTGTGTTTGCTAATCCAAGTTTATCACTTAGGCTAATTGATCATTAGAAAACCCTTTTGCAATTATGTTTGCACAGCTGAAAACTGTTGTGCTGATTAAAGAAGCAATAAAACTGGCCTTCTTGAGACTAGTTGAGTATCTGGAGTATCAGCAGTTGTGGGTTCGATTACAGGCCCAAAATGGCCAGAAACGAATAACTTTCTTCTGAAACTCGTCAGTCTATTCTTGTTCTGAGAAATGAAGGCTATTCCATGCGAGAAATTGCCAAGAAACTGAAGATCTCGTACAACGCTGTGTACTACTCCCTTCACAGAACAGCGCAAACTGGCTCTAACCAGAATAGAAAGAGGAATGGGAGGCCCCGGTGCACAACTGAGCAAGAGGACAAATACATTAGAGTGTCTAGTTTGAGAAACCGGCACCTCACAGGTCCTCAACTGGCAGCTTAATTAAATAGTACCTGCAAAACCCCAGTCTCAACGTCAACAGTGAAGAGGCGACTCCGGGATGCTGACCTTCTAGGAAGAGTTGCACACACACACACACACAGTGGGGAGAACAAGTATTTGATACACTGGCGATTTTGCAGGTTTTCCTACTTACAAAGCATGTAGAGGTCTGTAATTTTTATCATAGGTACACTTCAACTGTGAGAGACGGAATCTAAAAATCACATTGTATGATTTTTAAGTAATTAATTTGCATTTTATTGCATGACATAAGTATTTGATACATCAGAAAAGCAGAACTTAATATTTGGTACAGAAACCTTTGTTTGCAATTACAGAGATCATACGTTTCCTGTAGGTCTTGACCAGGTTTGCACACACTGCAGCAGGGATTTTGGCGCACTCCTCCATACAGACCTTCTCCAGATCCTTCAGGTTTCGGGGCTGTCGCTGGGCAATACGGACTTTCAGCTCCCTCCAAAGATTTTCTATTGGGTTCAGGTCTGGAGACTGGCTAGGCCACTCCAGGACCTTGAGATGCTTCTTACGGAGCCACTCCTTAGTTGCCCTGGCTGTGTGTTTCGGGCCGTTGTCATGCTGGAAGACCCAGCCACGACCCATCTTCAATGCTCTTACTGAGGGAAGGAGGTTGTTGGCCAAGATCTCGCGATACATGGCCCCATCCATCCTCCCCTCAATACGGTGCAGTCGTCCTGTCCCCTTTGCAGAAAGCATCCCCAAAGAATGATGTTTCCACCTCCATGCTTCACGGTTGGGATGGTGTTCTTGGGGTTGTACTCATCCTTCTTCTTCCTCCAAACACGGCGAGTAGAGTTTAGACCAAAAAGCTATATTTTTGTCTCATCAGACCACATGACCTTCTCCCATTCCTCCTCTGGATCATCCTGATGGTCATTGGTAAACTTCAGACGGGCCTGGACATGCGCTGGCTTGAGCAGGGGGATCTTGCGTGCGCTGCAGGATTTTAATCCATGACGGCATAGTGTGTTACTAATGGTTTTCTTTGAGACTGTGGTCCCAGCTCTCTTCAGGTCATTGACCAGGTCCTGCCGTGTAGTTCTGGGCTGATCCCTCACCTTCCTCATGATCATTGATGCCCCATGAGGTGAGATCTTGCATGGAGCCCCAGACCGAGGGTGATTGACCGTCATCTTGAACTTCTTCCATTTTCTAATAATTGCGCCAACAGTTGTTGCCTTCTCACCAAGCTGCTTGCCTATTGTCCTGTAGCCCATCCCAGCCTTGTGCAGGTCTACAATTGTATCCCTGATGTCCTTACACAGCTCTCTGGTCTTGGCCATTGTGGAGAGGTTGGAAGTCTGTTTGATTGTGTGTGTGGACAGGTGTCTTTTATACATGTAACGAGTTCAAACAGGTGCAGTTAATAGAGGTAATGAGTGGAGAACAGGAGGGCTTCTTAAAGAAAAACTAACAGGTCTGTGAGAGCCGGAATTCTTACTGGTTGGTAGGTGATCAAATACTTATGTCATGCAATAAAATGCAAATTAATTACTTTAAAATCATACAATGTGATTTTCTGGATTTTGGTTTTAGATTCTGTCTCTCACAGTTGAAGTGTACCTATGATAAAAATTACAGACCTCTACATGCTTTGTAAGTAGGAAAACCTGCAAAATCGCCAGTGTATCAAATACTTGTTCTCCCCACTGTGTGTGTGTGTGTGTGTGTGTGTGTATATATATATATATATATATATATATATATATATTCTTATTCCATTCTTTTACGTAGATTTGTGTGTATTAGGTTTTTGTTGTGGAACTGTTAGATATTACTTGCTAGATATTACTGTACTGTCGGAACTAGAAGCACAAGCATTTCGCTACACTCGCAATAACATCTGCTAACCATGTGTATGTGACCAATACATTTGATTTGATACATATATAGTGCCTTCAGAAAGTATTCATACAATACCCCATAATCACAAAGTGAAAACATGTTTTCAGAAATGGTTTCTAATTAGAAAATGAAATACAGAAATCTAATTTACATAAGTATTCACACTCCTGAGTCAATACACGTTAGAATCCCCCTTGGCAGCGATTACATCTGTGAGTCTCTTGAATAATTCTCTAAAAGCTTTCCACATCTGGATTGTAAAATATTTGCATGTTATTCGTAATGGTGAACATTCTTCAAGCTCTATCAAGTTGGTTGTTGATAATTTCTAGACAGCCATTTTCAAGTCTTATCTTAGATTTTCAAGCCGATTTAAGATTTAAGGGCGGCAGGTAGCTTAGTGGTTAAGAGCGTTGTGCCAGTAACCGAAAGGTCGCTGGTTCTAATCCCCGAACCGACTAGGTGAAAAATCTGTCGATGTGCCCTTGAGCAAGGCACTTAACCCTAATTGCTCCTGTAAGTCGCTCTGGATAAGAGCGTCTGCTAAATAACTAATTATTTATTATTATTATTATTAAGTCAACTTTAACTAGGCCACTCAAGAACATTCAATGTCGTCGTGTTTTAGGTTACTGTCCTGCTAAATGGTGAATTTTTTGCAGTTTTACTTTAGTGCCTTATTGCAAACAGGATGCATGTTCTGGAATATTTTTTTATTTGTATAGGCTTCCTTCTTTTCACTCTGTCATTTAGGTTACTAGTGTGGAGTAACTACATTGTTGTTGATCCATCCTCAGTTTCTTATCACAGTTATTAAAGTCTAACTGTTTTTAAGTCACAATTAGCCTCATGTTGATCAAGCCTCAATTTCCTTCCTCTCCATTAGGAAGGATGCCTGTTTCTTTATAGTGACTGGGTGTATTGATACACCATCCAAAGTATAATTCATAACTTCAACATGCTCAAAGGGATATATTCAATGGCTGCTGTTTTAAATGTTTTACCCATCTACCAAAAGGTGTCCTTCTTTGCGATGCATTGGAAAAACCTCCCTTCACTGCTCGACTGAAGGACCTTACAGATAATTGTATGTGTGGGGTACAGAGATGAGGTAGTCATTAAAAAATAATGTTAAACACTATTATTGCACACAAAGTGAGTCCATACAACTTATTATGTACCTTGTTAAGCAAATGTTTACTCCTGAACTTATTTAGGCTTGCCATAAAAAAGTGGTTGAATACTTATTGACTCAAGACATTTCAGCTTTTCATTTGTAATTAATTTGTTTAAAAAATCAAAAAACAGAATTCCACTTTGACATTATGGGGTATTGTGTGTAGGCCAGTGACAAAACATCTCAATTTAATCCATTTTAAATTCAGGCTGTAATACAACAAAATGTGGAAAGAGTCCAGGGGTGTGAATACTTTCTGAAGGAACTGTATTCAAGCGTATTAACAGTTATGAAAAAAGAGGGGGATACAGGCATGTGGGAAAAACAGTGGAAAGGGTGGGCATGGGTATTGAACCCCAATCTCCATTGGGGAGATTCATACATGTGAGGGGAGTGTTACCACTCAACTACAGCTTTGCACAACACTAACACTTCTATACATCTATATCTACTTGATCCAATGCCCTTACTGGACTGTTCACTTTACATATAACATGGCACAGCCCATAGGCATCTGTCAAAGGCCAGACATTTCTAACATGACCATGGTACTTTGAGCTTGACTCTTCAAACACTTATGTCAGACTTGCCTGTGAGACGCTTTCTTCTGTGGTGTGAGCTTGTATTCTTCTGGAAACCACCGTCTTGAGTAGCAGGACACATACACAAATTAAACTTAGCTCCTTCTCAGAAATGACATCACATAGCAGCCATATTTGTCTGTTTGAAGACACTGTTGTTTGATATATTCTCACCCTGAAAGTAGTCTATGGGCAGGGAGAAACTGTAGTCCATGGTTCAGTTCTCTTTAAAACGGCCATTACAAACTTCAGCTAACTTTAGGCACTGCTAGGCTAACTTAAGTCTCCTCCACATATGGTTTGATGTTACTTAAAGGTGGTGGCTAAAGTTAACTGAAGTTTGTAATGGCTGTTTAAAAGAAATCTGAACCATGGATGATAGTTTATCCTGGCCAATAGACTACTTTCAGGGTGAGGAACCTTCTAACATCAAGTTGTAAAAATAGTGAACTACTCCTTTAAGTGTGCTAAAATAGGCGAACAAAGCTCCACACAGTACTTTGTGGGCCTGTAATTCCCTGTTCCAACTTCCAGCCTTATCCCACATCATTGTGTCTCTGGGCACACCAGATTAAGATCCTGGCTGAGAGAAATTTGGAAAATAGTCAAATGTTAATCCTAACTGACAGATACCATCACACCTGGACATGATACAGCATTTGGTTACAAATTGCGTTTCAAAACCGTGGGAACATGCATTTCGTAGGTGGGTAAATAGAGGGTGAGAAAGTTCTCAGCTGTCCGATTAGGGCTAGAGGGGTACTTGGCCCGTTAGTTGCATCACTTCGGCTAGACAGCATCACACACACACAAATAAAATAATAATTGACCGTATATGCTATTTAGCAGAAGCTTTTATCCAAAGCAACTTACAGTCATGCATGCATACACTTTATGTATGGGTGGCTCCAGTGGGAATCGAACCCACAGCCCTTGGAAGTGCCATGCTCTACCGACAGCCAGACACCTACAACAGCCCTGCGCCGGTTCCCTATCCATCTATCGGAGTTGACTGAGTCAGAGACACATTGGACTGACCCCTCTCTCGGAGGACATACTGACTGACTGACTCACTTGGGTAAACAGGTGAATTACTTATGCCTTATCGACACACACACACACACACCTGCAGAGCTCCTTGATCGTGCTCACGTCGATGATCCTGTAATGGAGGTGGCGCATGAACTGGGGCATGTACTTGTCCAGGAACTTCTTGTCAGCATGCACTGAGTTCCCTGTAGGGAAAAAGAAAGCACCAGGCATTCAGTTTTGGATGTGCGAAAATGCTATGTAATGATGCTTCCTCAGTGACATAGCATTGAATGGCAAAGGATAAGCAGAATTTTGCAAACAGACAAAATAAATGGTAACAGTGTTAAAAACGGGCTAAACATGGTGGTACCAAAACGTCTTGCAACGGAGAACAGGTTGTAACACCTAGCCTGGTCCCAGATCTGTTTGTGCTCCTGCCAACTCCATTGCTCATTGTCAAGTCAAACATGTTTGAGTTGGCATGATAGCCCAAACAGATCTGGCACTCAGGGAAAATCCCCATTTTACATGTACAGTCATTTAGCAGATGCTCTTATCCAGAGCGACTTACATTATCTTTTTTTATTTTTTTTCATACTGGATTCGAACCAGGATCTCTAGTGGCACAGCTAGCACTGCGATGCAGTGCCTTAGACCACTGCGCCACTCGGGAGCCCAAGTCCAATTTTCAGAGCGTTTTCTACTGAATACGACCCAGGTGTGATGGTGCATTAATGACGGTATTCTCTATGTTTATAGTCCAGTGAAGAAAGAGGGCCACTCACCTGCAAGGGGACAGTGGCCCGGTGGGGTGTGCTGTCTGATGAAAGAGAGAAACTCGTACTCAGCCTGCTGCAGCGAGATCTTACTGTCCCTCACTGCCTGTGTCAACCCAGACTGGGAAACAGCATGCACAGGGTTAAGTATACACCATTAAAACCCAAAAACTGTTTTAAGTGAGAATAGGCATTGGTCTGAAGCTGACAAATTAAGGAAATTCACATGGGCACCACAATACCTATTCCACCCATGCTCTACCAAGGTTTTCCAGCACACAGCTTTCACCTACTACAGTAGCTTTGTTGGTATAGTACTTCAAACAATGTGTAGGCATTTTGTTTAGGATGTAAACCTTCTCAAATAGCCTAATTCATACTCTTAGAGGTGCTTCCACAATAGTGATTGGTACCACATACAAGGCAAAGTATTGGATTCTTCACACACCAGTCAGACATTATCCCATTATGCTACCTTTTCATGAATTTTTTATTAAATGAAAGCAAGCTTTGCTTTTACACTTACAAGACCATCAGGCTTGATTGAGCAGTTTTTTCTTGTAGTAATGTGGTGCATGCCTGTATTTATTTAAACCTTACTTGTAGCAATACATGTCATAACATAAAACATCCTGTTTTTGGTCAGTAGGTACCCAACATAACAGGTGGTGGTGTGCTGGACAAATCAGCTCAGAGAGCGCCGGTCTGCATTCCTAATTTCTGTAATTGTTCTCTTACCAGTGTTATATTGACATAAGCTCAGAACCACTTGTTTCAAACATGGTCCTGTTTTATCAACTGCTGTGCTGATCAATGGACAGTTCATTACCTCTGTCAAAATAATATGTAGCTTAAAGTTATTCTTCTTGTATTTAGTTTTACAATACAAGATGGAAGCAACAATACACATTTACAATAGGCCAATATCTAAAAATACATACAGCCAAATGAGAGAGCGATATATATACAGTACCAGTCAAAAGTTTGGACACACCTACTCATTCAAGTGTTTTTCTTTAATTTGTCCTAGTTTCTACATTGTAGAATAATAGTGAAGACATCAAAACTATGAAATAACACATGGAATCACGTAGTAACCAAAAAAAGTGTTAAACAAATCTAATATATTTTATATTACCACCCATACACAAAAAAATGTATGCACGCATGACTGTAAGTCGCTTTGGATAAAAGCGTCTGCTAAATGGCATATTATTATTATATTTGAGATTCTTCAAATAGCCACCCTTTGCCTTGATGACAGCTTTGCACACTCTTGGCATTCTCTCAACCAGCTTCATGAGGTAGTCACCTGGAATGCATTTCAATTAACAGGTGTGCCTTGTTAAAAGTTAATTTGTGGAATTTCTTTCCTTCTTAATGCGTTTGAGCCAATCAGTTGTGTTGTGACAAGGTAGGGGGGGGTAGGGGTTGTTCATGGGAATTCGGGACATGGGTGACTAGTTAACGTTAGCTTGGCTCTCTCTGTGTTTCATGCCGTGGGAGGAGGGGTTGGTCCGTTGGCAGAGAGCAATGGCTAGCTAGTATGCTAACTATTCTAGCTAACTAACTGGCTGAATAAGTTGATGAAGTAGTCACTCAAACTGTCAAAACTAACCCAAAACTTTACACAACGTTAGACACGGACACGAATGATCTGTTTGGCGTGTTAACACACTGGTGGTTTGTTGTAACCAAGTATTGGTGCTAAACCGTGTTATTGGAGGCTGGCATGCTAGATAGCTATGGCGTCATAGGATTCGGTGCCCTGGATGGTTTTCACGGAAGAATACTGTACCACGTTAGCTAGCTGAATAAACTAAGTTAGAGTCTATTCCTAGAAAACATTGAACCGCTCTCTCGCTTTCCCAGATGTTTAGTTCATTTCATTCCGATCTCATTTGCATTACTGTAGCCTTTTTCTGTAGCCTGTCAACTATGTGTCTGTCTATCCCGGTTCTCTCCTCTCTGCACAGGCCACACAAACGCTTCACACCACGTGGCTGCTGCCACTAATCTGGTGGTCCCTGCGCGCACGACCCACGTGGAGTTCCAGGTCTCAGGCAGCCTCTGGAACTGCCGTTCTGCGGCCAACAAGGCAGAGTTCATCTCAGCCTATGCTACCCTCCAGTCCCTCGACTTCTTGGCGCTGACGGAAACATGGATTACCACAGAAAACACTGCTACTCCTACTGCTCTTTCCTCGTCTGACCATGTGTTCTCGCATACCCCGAGAGCATCTGGTCAGCGCGGCAGTGGCACAGGAATCCTCATCTCTCCCAAGTGGACATTCTCTCTTTTTCCCCTGACCCATCTGTCTATCTCCTCATTTTAATTCCATGCTGTCACAGTCACTAGACCATTCAAGCTTAACATCCTTGTCATTTATCGCCCTCCAGGTTCCCTTGGAGAGGTCATCAATGAGCTTGACGCCTTGATAAGTTCCTTTCCTGAGAATGGCTCACCCCTCACAGTTCTGGGTGACTTTAACCTCCCTACGTCTGCCTTTGACTCATTTCTCTCTGCCTCCTCCTTTCCACTCCTTTCCTCTTTTGACCTCACCCTCTCACCGTCCCCCCCTACTCACAAGGCAGGCAATACGCTTGACCTCATCTTTACTAGATGCTGTTCTTCTAATAATCTCACTGCAAGTCTCCGACCACTACTTTGTATCCTTTTCTCTCGCTCTCCTCCAACACTATTCACTCTGCCCCTACTCAGATGGAAATGTGCCGTCGCAACCCCGCTCTCTCTCTCTCCCGCTACTTTCTCCTCTTCCATCCTATCATCTCTTCCCTCTGCTAAATCCTTCTCCCTCCGATATCCTGATTCTGCCTCGTCAACCCTACTCTCCTCCCTTTCTGCATATTTTGACTCTCTATGTCCCCTATCCTCCCGGCCGGCTCGGTCCTCCCCTCCTGCTCCGTTGCTTGACGACTCATTGTGAGCTCACAGAAGAGGGCTCCGGGCAGCCGAGCGGAAATGGAGGAAAACTAGACTGTCATCAAGGCAAAGGGTGGGTATTTGAAGAATATCAAATTTAAAATATATTTTGATTTGTTTAACACTTTTTTGGTTACTACATGATTCCATATGTGTTATTTCATAGTTTTGATGTCTTCACTATTATTCTACTATGTAGAAAATAGTACAAATAAAGAAAAACCCTTGAATGACTAGGTGGTGTAAGACAAGCATGGGAACTGGTCTTGATAAATCAATCAAATTTTTATTTTCACTGAATCTCCGTTTCGGTATTGGTTAGCCTACAATTAGGGTGAGGAAGATAGTCCTTTTGTTCACCCAACCTAGAATATCTCACAATCAAATGTCGACCGTATTACTTCCCACAATAATTATCTTTGGTTATAGTCACAGCCGTGTTTATTCCCCCTCAAACCGATACCACGACGGCCCTCAAGGAACTACACTGGACTTTGTGCAAATTGGAAACCACATATATTGAGGATGCATTTATTGTAGCTGGGGATTTTAACAAAGCAAATTTGAGGAAAACGCTACCAAAGTTCTATCAACACATTGCCTGTAGTACTCACGCTACAAAAACTCTCAACCATTGTTACTCTCCCTTCCAGGATGGTTATAAGGCCCTCCCCGCCCTCCTTTCGGCAAATCTGACCACGACTCCATTTAGTAGCTCCCTTCCTATAGGCAGAAACTCAAACAGGAAGTACCCGTGCTAAGGTCTATTCAACGTTGGTCTGACCAATCAGAATCCATGCTTCAAGATTGTTTTGATCACGTGGACTGGGATATGTTCTGGGTTTCCTCTGTGACTGAGTTCATCAGGAAGTGTATAGGGGATGTTGTTCCCACTGTGACTATTAAAACCTACCCAAACCAAAAACTGTGGATAGATGGCAGCATTCGCGCAAAACTCAAAGCGCGATCCACTGCATTTAACCATGGCAAGGCGACTGGGAATATGGTCGAATTCAAATTGGTCGATTCCCTCCGTAAGGCAATCAATCAAACAGGCAAAACGTCAGTAGAGAGACAAAGTGGAGTCGCAATTCAACAGCTCAGACACGAGATGTATGTGGCAGGGTCTACAGACAATCTTGGATTACAAAGGGAAAACCAGCCACGTCGCGGACACTGACGTCTTGCTCCCGGACAAGCTAAACACCTTCTTCGCCCACTTTGAGGATAACACAGTGCCACTGACGCGGTCCGCTTCCAAGGACTGCGGGCTCTCGTTTTCCGTTGCCGACGTGAATAAGAAATTTAAGCGTGTTAACCCTCACAAGGCTACCGGTCCAGACGGTATCCCTAGCCGCATCCTCAGAGCATGCGCAGACCAGCTGGATGGAGTGTTTACGGACATATTAAATATCTCCCTATCCCAGTCTGCTGTCCCCACTTGCTTCAAGATGTCCACCATTGTTCATGTACCCAAGAAAGCCCGTAGCGCTCACTTCTGTCATCATGATGTGCTTTGAGAGGCTAGTTAAGGATCATATCACCTCCACCTTACACCCACTTCAATTTGCATACCATCCCAATAGATCAACAGATGATGCAATCGCCATTGCACTGCACACTGCCCTATCCCATCTGGACAAGAGGAATACCTATGTAAGAATGCTGTCCATTGACTATAGCTCAGCCATCAACAACATAGTACCGTCCAAGCTCATCATTAAGCTAGGGGCACTGGGTCTGAACCCCGCCCTGTGCAACTGGGGCCTGGACTGGGGTAGGAAACACCTCCACTACGCTGATCCTCAACACAGGGGCCCCACAAGGATGCGTGCTCAGCCCCATCCTGTAATCCCTGTTCACCAATGACTGCGTGGCCACGCACGCCTCCAACTCAATCATCAAGTTTGCAGACGACACAACAGTAGTAGGCCCGATTACCAACAATGATGAGACAGTCTACAGGGAGGGCCCTGGCGGAGTGGTGCCAGGAAAATAACCTCTCCCGCAACAAAACGAAGGAGCTGATCGTGGACTTCAGGAGACAACAGAGAGAGCACACCCCTATTCACATCGACGGAACCGCAATAGAGAAGGTGAAAAGCTTCAAAGCGCAGAGGGTTGAGCGGTCTGCCGAACGCATCACCGGTGGCACACTGCGTGCACTCTAGGACACCTACAGCACCCGATGTCACAAGAAGGCCAAAAAGATCATCAACCACCCGAGCCACGGCCTGTTCTCCCCGCTATCATCCAGAAGGTGAGGTCAGTACAGGTGCATCAAAGCTGGGACCGAGAGACTGAAAAACAGCTTCTATCTCAGGGCCATCAGACTTTTAAATAGCCGGATACCACCCAGTTACTCAACACTGCACCTTAGAGACTGCTGCCCTATGTACATAGACTTTGAATCACTGGTCACTTTTAATGAAATACTAGTCACTTTAATAATGTTTACATACTGTTTTACTCATTTCATATGTATACTGTACTCACTGTATTTTAGTCAATGCCACTCAAGACATTGCTCGTCCCAATATTTATATATTTCTTAATTCCATTCTTTTACTTTTAGATTTATGTGTATTGTTGTGAATTGTTAGATATTACTACACTGTTGGAGCGAGGAACACAAGCATTTCGCTACACCCGTAATAACATCTGCTAAATATGTGTATGTGACCAATGAAATTTGATTTGGAAATGGTAGGATTATTTTGCTCTTCACTCGCAGTCGCTTAGTAGCCTAGGCCTACTCCCAACCGGTCACGTTGTACAGCGCCATATTTTCCTAACGGAAACCCTGAGGCCTACATAGGCTACTGTAAAATGCATTTTCGTTTTTCTTGGAATAAAATTACCATAATATTAATCAATTTAATTAAGCTACATTTCTAACAGTATAAACAGCACAACAAATACAATAATATACAAACAAATTATAATCAATCCCATATAGTCTGTTCTAACAAAATAAGGTTTTAAAGTCTCTAGTATAGCCAATATTAAAAACAGTCAAATGCATTAGTGAATTCAATCACTTTAGCCGACATGTTGCGGTTTATTCATTGTTTAATAATTCAAGGCTCCCTTTGTTATTTCGTTGTATAACTAAAATGCTTGACTGTCCTTAAAAGACATGAATGACTTTGCCAAAAGGCATCTAAAGGACTCTCAGACCATGAGAAACAAGATTCTCTGGTCTGCTGAAACAAAGATTGAACACTTTGGCCTGAATGCCAAGCATCACGTTTGGAGGAAACCTGGCACCATCCCTACGGTGAAGCATGTTGGTGGCAGCATCATGCTGTGGGGATGTTTTTCAGTGGCAGGGACTGGGAGACTAGTCAGGATCGAGGGAAAGATGAACGGAGCAAAGTACAGAGAGATCCTTGATGAAAACCTGCTCCAGAGTGCTCAGGACTTCAGACTGGGGGCGACGGTTCACCTTCCAACAGGACAACGACCCTAAGCATACAGCCAAGCCACTGCAGGAGTGGCTTCGGGACAAGTCTCTGAACGCTCGAGTGGCCCAGCCAGAGCCCGGACTTGAACCTGCTCGAACATCTCTGGAGAGACCTGAAAATAGCTGTGCAGCGACGCTCCCCATCCAACCTGACAGAGCTTGAGAGGATCTGCAGAGAAGAATGGGAGAAACTCCCCAAATACAGGTGTGCCAAGCTTGTAGCATCATACCCAAGAAGACTTGAGGCTGTAATCGCTCCCAAAGGTGCTTCAACAAAGTACTGAGTAAAGGGTCTGAATACTAATGTAAATGTGATTTCAGTTTAGTTTTTTTAATACATTTGCTAAAATTTATAAAAACCTGTTTTTGCTTTGTCATTATGGGGTAGTGTATAGATTGATGAGGGAAAAACAACAATCCATTTTAGAATAAGGTTGTAACGTTACAAAATGTGGAAAAAGTCCAGGGGTCTGAATACTTTCCGTATGTACTGTATCCTCCCATTCATTTTTTCAACCGGTACTGGGGGACCTTCCGACGAGTTCTGTGAGCATCCTAGAGCAAAACGGAGACCACCATTCGGACGTCACAGACAATTTTATGGTCTGACAAACACTGTTCTGCCACCTTTCACCGCAGACGCGGAAGTGCGACATAGGCGGATGTGGTGGATTGAGACGCATCCAATGCAACAACAAAAAAAACATATAGTTTAAACTGACAGACTTTTATGGGATAAAAAAAAAAATGCTAATTAGATTTCCGTGGGGGAACAGACATCGACTTTAGGGGGTTAATGGATGGAAATGTGCATGTGAGAGTGATAATTATATATATTTTTTAAACTGTTGCACCTACAAAGTTAGTCAATCTGACATTTTTTAAAATCCAATAGTCACTTTATGGATGCTAGTCTCATTTTAATCCGGCGTCTAGAATTTGAGATAGGTAGCCGCAAGAAATACTCTTAAAACTCAATTGCTAACAACCCTGTTAAAAAATCTGGTATATGGTTCTCGGTAACGGATGGACAGCTTATGACAAGGTGGGGAGTATGTTCTGTACCTCCAATCAAGTTGATTTGCTAATTTTCATTGAGATTGGTGTCATATTGGATTAGATATGATGGTAGGGGGATTTGAATTGAACAATGAGCTTCAACCAATGCCTATCTAGACGTGACTATCGTTGCGTCTATAATAACACAGGGCTCTCCAACCCTGTTCCTGGAGAGCTACTGTCCTGTAGGTTCACACTCCGACCCTAATCTAGCACACCGGTTTCTAATAATTAGCTGGTTGATCATCTGAACCAGGTTAGATACAACTGTGGTTGGAGCTATAACCTACAGGAGGGTAGCTCTCCAGGAACAGGGTTGGGGAGCCCTGCTATAATTCGAGGTACGATACTGTTTTTATGAGGAGCAGCTAGTACAGGTATTGTGGTTGTAGACCTACTGGCACTAAGATAATGTCACTTTAAGTATATCACTGAGTAAAGACTTTAATGGAACATCATTTATGTACAATATGAATGTATTAACTGTTCAGCTTCCTTAGTTTATGTACTGAGTAATTAAACTGATGACTTTTGAATTAGGATACTTATTTGTGCTTGTGCAGCATCTTGTTCATTAGGCAAAATGCATCTGACCATTTCAGTCTGAGACAACTTGCAACAAGGTGACAGGCAAGAGTCCCAATTCTCCATCCTTCTCCATTCACTTGCAAACTTTCTCACATGGATTTTTACAATGGTGTTAAATCCCTCATGCCAATGATTACATCAATGCTTTTAAATCCATGATGGGGATTGTCCAAGTTCACATTTCAGGAAAAGGGTGGAGAATCGGGACGTAGACAACATTCCACAAGTCATAGCTTACATTGCCATGATGTTCTTTACACCAGTCGTCCATCCCGTCCAGCAGTTCGTCGGTTGTGTTGATTATCAAATTGGGACCCTATCAACATAAGACACCTTTCATGTAATTCTTCACATAATGTACAGGGGAAGAAAATGCAACAAATTGAATGACAGTTCTACATCCCAAATGGCACCCTATTCCCTGTGTAGTGCACTACTTTTGACCCGGGCCAATAGAGCTCTGGTCAAATGTAGAGCATTATGTAGGCAATAGGAATTTGGGTGGCAACCAAAATGCGAATTACCTCAGCTAAAACATTTAATTCTGAATCTGTTATGATGCACGCCATTTCAATGATCTGGTCCTTCTCGATGTCCAGTCCTGTCATCTGAAAAATTGAATGTACATGATAAGAGAAAATGGTGTAGGCCTACTTTAGCTACTATGCATAGAGAAGACATTCCCATTCAAAAAGCTATGTTATAGTAAACAACTACATCATCAAAAATGCACCATCATTCTGCTCTGGCCTTTTGACAAAAAATACAGGTTTTTTGTCTTGCTTACTATAAATAACATGCATGTTAATCATGAGTCATTTAAAATTAAAATGCCAGATACTAACGTTAATCATTACACTTAAAATGTCAGGTATGTTTAGTTAGTTAGATACAGCTACAGCATTTGAATCTCAGCCTTAGAAAACCATCATTACATTGCACTGACACAAAATGGATGACTAGGTTGACAGCGCACTGCAGTGGGAGTGATGGATTAGTAGCAAAACGCATGTATGACAGATGTAGTAATTTGGAAGCTAGCTAATAAATACAATAACTCTATGACCTCTGAGAAAATGATTATCTGAGAGAAGCAGACATTTCATGTGGACTAGTTAAAAAAACGAACACCATGGTGTTAATTCAACTAACGCTAGCTAGCCAGCTATGGATACGTTACCTATCAAAAGTTGTTAGCAGCAAAGAACCTCGACATTACAGTTGTCACTAGTACTTTCAGGCCAAGTTCTATCTGAACAGCTAGCATGTGAATAGATAGCCAGCCTTTACAGGCTAGCTGTTAAGTAGGCTAGAACTTACGGTAGTTAGCTAACTACCAGTAATGGACAAACCAGTTGCAATTGCTAGCTTCTAGCTAGCAAGGCACGTTAACGTTACCTCCAAGTCCACCCACACCATCCTCTGCCTCATGCCAGGGTCTGACCGCGAAGATGACATTTTCTTGCGGTATGTGGAGATATTATGTACAGAAATATTCAGCCCGGTCCGTCTCGACGCTAGGCCTTTCCTCTGCACAGAAATATAAGCGCAGTTCCGACTTGTGCTTGACTGCAAAAATAAATTTCGACAGGCTGAAAATCTTTGACTGCTGCTTGGGCGAAGAGTAGGGAAATTCGCAAACTTGCAAAGAAGTTTCGAGCTGAAAGTCCACGCTGATGTTCGCGTGCACAAGAACACCGGCATAATGGATCCACTTCCGATCTAAACTGTCGTAAACCAATGCGTCAGCAATATTTCAAGCATGCATGGAATGTGTTGCCGAGCATGCTTTCTTCTTCTTCTTCTTCTTCTTCTTCTTCTTCTTCGATGAGGTTTATCCACCAATAAATGTTGCATTACCGTCACCTACTAGACTGGAGTATAACTCCCTTAAACTTTGCTTTAAAAAATAAAAAAATACAACAAATACCCTACACTCACAAAAACAAAATATAATAATAATAATAATAATAATAATGATAATAATAACCACCATACTCCACTATTTAAATCTATTTATTCCTACTTCAGGCCAACAGCCTGAAAGGATGGGACACCACCACTTAACACACCCTGTAATTCTTCTGATGTCAAGTCTCGTACACCCAAATACCTCTCTGCAGCTGCCACCACAACCTCTATTTTCTGCGACTTACGTTCCATCCCTGCAGTACAGTTGATAACCATTGCTATAAATGCCAAAAATCCAATCTTACTGAAACATATATCACTTGTTGGTTTATCCCTCTGTACTGGTACAGATCTGGTACTCACACCATTCCTCTCAGGATCCCTCCCCCTTGACCCATCTTCCACCACTTTCTTCACTGCCTGAGCATATGACAACTTCAGCACTACTCTAACCCTGGAAACCTCAACCTGCCTCTCTCGCACCGGACATTTCGGATCACCAGCCCCATGGGCACCCCTACAATTAACACATACTACTACTTCCCCCAATGCTACACATTCCTTTGTCTCATGCCCTTCTGCACACTTCTCACACCTAGGAACCTCCTTCCTACACACTGCTGCCACATGCCCATAAGCTTGACACCTGTAACAACGTCATGTATTCGGCACAAAAGCTCGTACCGGATAATTTATATATCCTAACATCACTTTGTCGGGCAAAGACTCAACATCAAAACTCAAAAGAACAGACAGTGACTCTTCTGTTTCTCCACTCACACCACCCTGTTGGCGTCGCGCCAAACGACGAGCATCACAAACACCGGGAATCTTCCCTTTCAGTTGGTCAGCTTTCACATTTACCACTACCCCAGTAATCACGCCTTTCAATGGCGCCCTTTTCTTGAGAGCAAAACAATTCACATCTCTTGCCCCCTTTCGTTTAACACGGAGCGCCTGCTCCCTCTGACCAGCAGAAACACAAACAATTATCACCAGACCACTTCTGGTTACCCTCACCGATTCCACAGCACCTAACTGTTTTCACCCACCCTGAAACCACAAATGGAACTGCCAAAAGGCAAGGGTCCACTTTTTCCAAAAACTTCACTCCTACTGTCACAGACTCATCTTTATCCTGACCCTCGTGCAAACCTCGGGCTCCGAGAACTTCACCACAGTTACCACCTCCGATACTTTGCCCTCATTCATTTCCATTTCTCCTCCTGTCTTCAACTCACTCTGCTTACACTTTCTACCATTCTTCTTTAACAAACCATCTCCCTTTTTTCCGCCATTTTTAACTGACTCAAGTTCACCCTCTCCCTCCCTCTCTCTCTTAGACCTCCTCTGCCTCTCTTTTTCCCTCCATTCCTCCTCCGTATTCCAAGTATAACTCTCCTTATGATAGTACTGCACTTCACCTGACATACATCTGGTTCTAGCCTTGTCTAGGGACGCCATTTAACCGGCTGTCACAATCTCCCACCCTCATCATGCAAGTCTGTTGGGACAACAACATTTGTCTCATAACAGACCATTGAAGTTGTCGGTAACTCCGCACGGTCATTGCCTACTTCTTAGATTTAAAAAGTATTTTCATGTCCAACAACTGCACCGATTTAAATTATCAACTAAACGTGTATTTACAAGGCATGTCATTAACTATTGTATGTACTGAAAGGTTGTATATCGAAGCAATGGCATGGTTTGGGAGAGGTGGGTGCTGCTCAACGTGTTGTGTAGAAGTTGTAATAAACAGCCATCTTATCAGCTTCTTATTGTGCCACAGATTTTGACATGACACCCCCTTTCTCCCACTACCCACCACTCCCATTCAAAACTAAAGAACATGACAATATTGTGCAAGAAAAACAAGTAATTACAAGCAATCAATATGCACAAGGGGAAATAGTTTGTAACAAAAGAGGGAACACTGTAAATGTGAAATTAATTTATATTGTTGTGTTAGGTATGGTTTTTCCTACACTGAGTTGAATGTGATTTAAGAAAATGACATTAATTGCTCAATATGTATTTGCATTGTTATGGGCACAACACTACATTTTCTTGCCAAGATGAAAAATACATGATGGTTGCCTTGAGGAAGTGTGTCACCTATTTTGGTACCCAACATCCAAAAAGGGTTTTATGAAAATATATTGAGATTTTATATAATTAAAATTGTATCTAAAACCAAGTGTAGTGCAGATAAACAGGAGCGCCTGTCAGGCCATCATACAAAACAGCTTACTGCAGCCGCCGACAGGTTTGAGCCAATTTGCTGGATGGCTAAACAGCAGTGTTAGCCAAGTACATAACAACAAGCAGTTTCTGCAGACACTCTTCAAAGTTTAATCCACAGCGGGGCTCACACAATCAAATTCCCCCTGTTTCTCACATTCTAAAACATAGAAAAACAAACACCAGATCCTGATGTACAGTGCTGTCGTTGAAGAAACTGCCATAGGAATATTTGCATTCAGACTGAAGAGAAGCAGTTGACTTCTTCACCGCTGTGAATGAACTCTAGGGCACATAATGATGTATGAGTCAACGTCTGCCTCTGAAATGGCACCCTATTTCCTATTTAGTGCACTACTTTTGACCAAGTTCCATAGGACATAGGGAATAGGGTGCCATTTGGGACGCATATAAACTTTACACCAGTTGAACTCGGGGGCCACTTCCAGTCTATGTCTGAAGTGATACTGGCCTTGTGTGACAGATTCAATGTTCTTCTGCTCGACCAGGCGACCATGGGACATGGGTTGTGACATCAGCAAGACAGGAAATTGCACCAGCTGCCCCAGGCGTGTGAACGGTGTGAAAGGCCAGGGACATCTGGGTCTTATTCACTAGGCACCAAATGGAAGAAAACAGACTAAAACGGGGAGGGAGTATACCAGAACTTGTCCAATAAGAAACACTCTTTTGTTTTCCGTTGCAAAACATTTCTCTATGGTGAGCACTAATGAATATGACCCATATTCATTAGGCACCAAACAGAAGGTGGTGTGGTCAAAAGAAGTGCACTATATACGGAAAAGCATGCCATTTGGGACAAACCTAAGTGTTGTCATCACAGCAATGTGATGCAACACTAATGCAACAGATAGACAGCCATTGCGTTCACTTCTTTGGAGAATGATGGGTTTCTGATGTCAGCCATTTTGCTTTCACTTCTTTGGAGCACGATGTGTGCGATGGCACGTGAAAGCACAGGTTGAGTTAAAGTGATGGCCCTGTGTAGCATAAATGTCCTACAAAATGGGTTCAAGATGACTTCTGAATAATACAGAGGTCATTTAACATGCAAGGCTGTATACTGTAGGTGTTAAAGGCTGCTTCAGTGACTGCATGGTTATAGGGTGTCTTGCTGAGACAGGCTGTCCTAATATGGACACCGTACATTTGCATGGCATTGAAGGCCCTACTCAGACTTGGATATTATATTTTTTTCTGCATCCATAGTTGATTTTGATTTGGCTGGAGATCTTGTCTGCGTTATGAATGCACTAGCTGGTTGCTGGTTATTTCCCCTCAGAATACCCAGTAGCCAGAAATGTATAGGCCTATGTACTGTAACGATATGGCCAAATATTCTGTATTGGTCACAGGAGTAGGAGTAAGTTGCCCCTATCTCTGATCTTAGGTCAGCTTTGCATTTTCCCCACAAATGGTAAAGGTTAGGATTGGGTGAGGGGAAGCTGATCCTAGATCTGTACCTAGGAGAAACTTCACCCTTGAGCTTGGTCATAGCTGTCAATTTTTCTCAAGGATAGTTCCAACCTGAGCCTTTGGATGGTGCAAGAGCATTGCTAATGTTTCATATTGCTGTAAGTGTAGAAATGGTTGGAAGATCCGTTTTTTATTTGGTATAATTATTGTATTGCAGTGTCCCTTTTGGTATGTACTTTATTGAACCATAATAGTATTTTTCCCTTTTTCTGAATACTACAAGATTATGCTCTACTGAAAGTGCTTTATCTGGAAAGTTGACTGCTGAGATGTACACTTTTTTTGGTTTATATTTACAGTGCACTAATAGACAAAATACTAAAAGATAGTTTTGAGTGTCGAATTCCTTTAACAGTATCCATGTCTGCACACCATCACCCCACTGGTAATCCATCAAACCAGTATAAGACCGTCATGTGTTGGAAATACGCATATTATTCAACCATATACTGTTATGTTAGATATCCATACAACATATTCTCATTGTGTGACAGGTTTTCTGAGTTTTTCCTACGACTAGGGCCCTGGGTTTTTCCTGGTCAAGTCACGTGGTCAGGAAAACCTCAGGGTACTACTGAGGAATGAAGTGACGCTTTAATGCAAATTCTGGTTTAGCTTTAGCATAGATTTAGACAAGTGAAGAATGAGACAGCTGTTTTGAAAGCATATTGGAAAGCATTTATATAACAATCAGTTTATCTTCCTCTCCAACTCACTCCATGATTGACTCCATGACTGAAGAAGCTAGAAAAGGAGCATTTTATTATGACTCGGCATGAAAGTCATTTTATTGTGCTGCATTTTTTCAAGACACACTGTTCTCTTCCTATGCACTTTTGACCCTGACAACAGAACATTGGCTTTGCTGTTATGATAATTTGGCATGAGTAAGACAAAGCCTGAAATCGGAGGAAGAAGAAAACCAGGAACGACGAAATGAGAGGTGAACCAATCAGACAAGCCTTGGAGCTCTCTCTCTCTCTCTCTCTCTCTCTCTCTCTCTCTCTCTCTCTCTCTCTCTCTCTCTCTCTCTCTCTCTCTCTCTCTCTCTCTCTCTCTCTCTCTCTCTC